AAATATTTTAGAGAATGAAATCTGGTGTTTTTAATATAGAAAATGACTATGATTTATGACGTGTTTGGACGTAATAAGTTTAAAGTATCAAAGAACTAAACTCAATAAAGAAATAATTTTATTGGGTCAATATTTAGTCAATAGATATGCTAATATCATAATCCTCAAATGATACTATGAACGCAATAATAAAAAAACTACGCCAAAATGTGAAAACAATATATTACAAACATATTAAGCAAATGGAAAATCGTAAATTTTAAAAGTACCCCTACCAGGAGTAGCTGTGTTAACAAAATTTGACAATAAATTGTATCAGAAGCTAAGCGAACTCAACGGTCTAGCCACAATTTCCGTTTATTACTTTAACGGGTAGAAAACTTTTTATAAAAAATTAAAATATAACATGCTTTACAGATGCTGACTGAGATAGCAACTCTGTTAACAGACAATTGTTTCTTGGCATCAAAATATATGTGGATGGGTCAAGACGTGAAGGGAATAGATATTAAAGGAATACTGCAGAAATTGAACTAAAAGAAATGTGAATGCGCAGTTCTTAGTGCAAAATCCCATTATTCATAAGCGAACCAAGCACATAGATAGACAACTGATACTGCCTTACTATGTAGAACTTCACAATTTTCTTTAAGTGTCAGTTCTTAAATTCCTAGAAGTGCACTAAAGTTTCAAAGCCTACTTAAAAACCAACCAACGAACAGTGCGTTTTGCTGTATAGAGTTTTTCGTACCAATATGCTCTAACCTAGGAGTATGGGAATCATATAGTATATGGCCTTAAAAAAATGATATTTAAAAAAATGTAAAAGTTGACCTTGGTGGAGCCCACATTTGGATGGGTACCGGTAAGCCGATTAGACTCAAAATATATTTAAAAGAACGTCCTCCTCAAAAACTACATTTACCTACATTTATTTTAATATCTTTAATGGTTTAGAAAATGCTGAATTTTGATCATATAATTTTTATTGATTTTCATTCAGAACTCGATATTTTCTGAACTATTAGAGATCTTAAAATAAAATTGCGTTTTTGAGATGGGTGTTAAGCCCGACTGTTCTTAATCAAAACACTGTTAGTACGCAACTATTGTAAGTTTCTTTTCCTGATTTCGCGAATTTTGTTTGTATTTCCAGTAGTTGGCCATATCAGTTTGACAGATATACGTGTATATAGTTGATAACACTTCAATCGCCTAACCAAACTGTATTTAAAAGAAGTTCTCCTATTGCGTTTGCCTACTGTGTTTACAACGATTCTAACCTAGAAGACAGAGCTTAAAGTTTTACCAGTAACAGGGACAATCAAGATCAGCGGCACAGACCATAATCTATCAAATTTACAAATCGGTAAAATGTTATCTATCACGCTACAGTGACTCACAGCTTATTTCGTGTAAATAATATTTTTGTAGATAAAGTCGAAGTTCCTAATATTGAAAATAAAAAAATTTAAATATGCAACTCTGAAGAATGTTTGATTTTTATTATAAAATAAAAAAAATTTATCAAAAATAAAAAAGTTAGGTGCACAGAAACAAACATACATCAAATTCTGACCTCACAGCTTTTATCATCTATTGTTTTTACTTCTCAAAATCGTGCAATTTTTGATTCGTGTTTTAGTATAGTCCCACCCATTTTAGTTCGAACACCGTCTAATGATCTTTCAACATTTGGATACATTTTAAATAATACGATTTATCAAGTCTTCCAAAATATACCTCAGTTTCCCATTTTACTTCATCATTTCATGCAAATTTCTTTTCTTGGAACAATCTTTTCAAGTTTGGAAACAGGTAATAATTAATGAAACACAAATCTAAAAAATACAGTGCATGAAGAAGCAATTCGCATCATAATTCATTTAATTTCATGATTTTCACATTCAATCAATCCAATAATATACATTAGTAATCTAATGTTATTAATTTTCCTTTTTTAAATAGTCTATAAAAATTATTTCACTTGAATCTTAGAATACGGAAGCCAGAACTTTTCCAGTCAATTGTAGAGTTCGAGGTCGTTTGATTGCACTACCTCAGGCTCTACTCATTCTCTAGCTTGTTGTTTTTCCGCAGGTGTGAAGAAATGGATACATGTTGCATCAATTGTCACTACTTGCCGCTCACAGTCAGCTACATTATGTATGAACATTTCCAAACAATGTTTTGAATGACGAAGTCGTGGTCGTGGTCGTTTTTATTCAATTTTTAGCAATCGCGTCAACCAACTTGTCGAAATTATTTTCATACCCAAATATGAAAAGTTTATCAATTCTGATATTTCACGCTATTTAATATTTGGATCGTCCAACACGTTATCGTGGATTTTTTTTAATGTTTTTTCCATTTGAACTTCTTTTGGACAACCCGGACGCTTTTTATAAAAAACACTCGTACGACCACGTTTAAATTCAGCTTTCTAATATTTTATTGTTGTTAACGACGGTGCAAGGTTACCGTAACCAGAATCCACACCCAATTTGATTACATCATTGTTCATTCGTTTCAAATGCAGGAATTTTATTACTGAGTTTTATTACAGCTGTCGTTTAGTACTTGCCAGATATACAGATGGCGTTGCTACCTGTTGTGAAGTGAGATAATTATCAATCCACCTTGTAGGATCACGTATTCCATTATCGACGCTGTCATCACTAGTTACGATCATCTTTTGTCTACAGTAATATTAAACGTAAAAGATGATGTAGGAAAAAAAGATAAACCAATTTCAAAGTTGACATTCATTAAAATATCCACTATCTGTATTAGGAGAACCGTTTGTGTTTTAGTTTTTACTGTACAATACAATTCTATTTTTATGTATACAAATTCAATAAATTCAATTCTATATTTATTAGTTGTCGGACTGGGAAACTTTACAACGGTACAATTGCTCCTTCACATATAAAGTATTAAAAAGATTCCTATGTCCAACTTTTTTATAATCAAAAATTAAAAGCGCATTGTTTTTTAAGACTTGATTTGTAAATACAGCTGCTAGGAAGTTTAAAATGCGTTATGAATTTTTTTTATTCGTCTTTACTTTTTACCATTAATAATCTTCATGAAACTCGCCATACGTAAATACAAACTGCGGCGAATATACATGTAGTATATATATTATATTGTATACTTTTATGTATATAGTATATACTTTTGCTCTTATTTTATTTTTGAAAATTGTTGAAATTGTTTTGGATTTCCAAACAGTAATTTGGAAAAAGCCTATAAACCATATGACTGTAGCACTGTCGATGAACAATTATTTTCATTCACACAATATGAACCCTCCAGGCCAGCTAAATACGGCATTAAAATTTAATGGGTTTGTGATGCACAAAGTCACATTTATACTGACCAACATAAGACCAACAGATGATCCTCGACAGTAAACATTGGTGAACGAACTGTGCTAGACTTAGTTTGCTTGTATAAAGGAAATGGAAGAAATGACGTTACCGAAAACTTTTTTACATTCTTAGATCTAGGTAAGACATTGAACTCCTGGAGTATGGCACTCGTTGGAACAGTCAAAAAAAATAAAATAAAAATAAAATAAAATGTAGCTGTTAAAAGATCTGTGAATTCAACAAATTTTGCATACAATCATGGTGTAACAATCTGCTCCTATGCCAAAAAAAGAAAAAAAAAAAAAGAAAAAAACAAAGAAAAAAAAAGAAAAAGAAGAAAAAAAAAGAAAAAAAAACAAATCAGTTGTACTTCTGTCAAGCATGACAGGAGATATTGAAAATTCGCGCAGTGCCAAGATAATCAAATTCTAAAATAAAACCAAAGGTTGTGTCGACGCGATTGACAAAATGTTGAGTGAATACACAGTAAAGCGGCGAACGTTGCGTTAGTTTCTGACAATGTTCTGCATTACGATTAATATAATTGGATTGGCATCTTAAATTATCTATACAGACCAAAACAAAGGATCAACAAAGAAACTTCTTGAAGAAAGGTCTTGTCAAACAGCTACGAATGGCTTGAAAACCGTAGTGCAAACAAAAAATGTTGGGTAACTATTTTCTTTAAAGCGCAGTACAGATGTTGCTCGGACAAGAAATTTTGCTGACACCAGAACCAACAACTAGTGCTAAAGTACCTCATGGCGGAAGTGGAGCCACCGCAATTGTTGATAGATGTCATATTTGCTAACATCTGAGTTGAAAGCAACAAAAGACTAGAAAGTCATGCGTGGTTTGCGTGAATACTGTTTGCGATGAACACTCTATTTCCAATACAGCATTTGTTTCATGCGAAGCAAGTGAAAAAAATACATTATATCAGCGAATTTCCATTTCTTATATAAAATTTAATTTAATTTTTTTTAATAATAACTTGTCTTAAAAAATACATTTTCTTTCATTATTTTGTGCAGAATATATGAAAGAACAATTGAGCCTAAAACGTCTTTATTGAGATTGAAATCAATTCAAATTCATATCTTAGAAAGTTGTGCAGATATTTTTCTAAAATTTAAAAAATATTATCTAATATTATTGCTGCGATACTGGCAAAAAACGTTATTGCAATTGAAAAATGCAAAAGTTACGATTGTACCTATTCCCTCTGATTACTGAATACTGTTTCAACAAGTTAAAAGGAGATACATACAAATTTGATTACTCAACAAAAGTTTCAAAAGCGACTCGGCAGGAAGTTAGTTACCACAATAACAGTCTGCATTAACTTATTATTACACCCTATATATTCTCCAGATCCAAAGTCCTCAATTTTTACTTGTTTCAGTCAAAATTTTCACGACCGTAAAACTTTTATTTGAAATGAAGACTTCAGGAATGACTTGGATCAATTTGTTGTAAGAAGTTTGGTTAGCATGAAATCATGTTTTTGCCGAAAAATATTATTAAACAATATATTAATGTAATACTATAAGACAGCAGTATGTAATTCTTACACAAAAATATGACTTTACTTTGTAAACCTAATACAATGATATTGTTACTTACCTTTAACCAGCAGTTGAGAGTTGTGTGAAGTGTTTTCTTCTTCATTTACTTGTAAATTATGTAATATATCACAGTGTTCAGAAATTGTCGATTGCCTTTGACCCTTCCCTATTTTTGGAGATGTTTGATGGCTGGGTATGACTTTGTTATGATACAAATCATTTTGAGTAGGTGATATATTACACTGAGCTGCAGTTGATATATGTATATGATGTGGAGTTATTGAAACGAACTGCTTGTTATTATTAGAAAATTTGTTCACCACTGCAGTAGTTATAGTATCATTCAGTGATATCGGCTGCGTAGGTGTATTCCACCAGTTTAGTTTTGCAATACTATTTTTGTTATTTTGAAAATATTGATCTATATTGGATAATTTTGTATCCAAGGTTGTATTACCAAGATCTTTGTTGTCATTTTGTAATGGCCGCTGGTCAATACTGTTAGTATTCATATTTGTTGCAATTTTCAAAGCTTTATCCTGCAGTGAAGTGCAGTTTTCCTTTGGTAGTTCGTAATTATTATTTTGGTTACTAAACTTCAACAATTCAATTGGTTTTAGTTTATTTAAGTGTTCGGACACTGCTTCATCTAGTTCCATTACTTTAGAAATTTGCACATTTGTTTAGCGCAATCTTTTTCAATTCAAATATATTTAGCATATATGTATAATATACACTTCGATGTTATTAAGATAACAAATAAAACTACAGCTTTAGTAACTAATTAGTACGAACTATAATATAACTATTATTTAATTCACTTTTATCAATATATTCTCGCGTTGCTTTTCTAATCAGGTGTTTTCTAAATTATATCTCTTTATTTTGCAGCATATTCTAATGTTGTAAGAGGTAAAACTCAGGAAATGTCAGCTTTGTAATCCTGTTGAATTAAATCCATAGCTTTTCTTTTCAACAAATTTGATAGCATCGTTGAACTGCTCAACACAAAGTAATAAATCGAAAAAGACCTGTTGTTCCACCATTTTTATGCAATGTACACGATAATCGTTTCTTCCAAAAACAGTTCATAAGTGAACACACGTAATTTCAAATTTTATTTAGAGAAAGTCCACATTAACTCCATACATTTATTTGTCAATTACATCAATAACATTTTTTATCATTTGTGTCTTTTTCGCTTTAAGCGTTTTTTATGAAGTTCAACTAGTAACTGTTCAAGTTTCCTTGAAAGATACTTAACGCTATAATTCTTTTTATTTCGAATTAATTCATTCGAAGTTGTCAATCATCCAAAAATATTTATTATCGATAAATAAAATGCTATTGTTTCTTTCGTATTCGCCAATAGAAGTATTTTTATATACAATTCCCTTATTCCTGGCACAACCGCAAAACCTCCTCCGTTTCCTTTTTTAAAATAAAATTGCTCAACGAATTCTTTCTGTAGAAGGTTTAGTACAAAAGACGCTACAAAAATATTGCTAATGCCGCTGTAGGCGTCATCAATATAATTACGATATAAATTTTTCAATGTAATATGTTTTACAGTTTCTCCAAGTGATGATGATAAAAATGGAACAATTTGTGTTCGCTGTCTTCTGCTAAGCTGCCAATACTGATTTTTTGAACTTTGAAATGAACTCATTACGATAAAGATTAAATTATAAATATATGTCGTAAGTTCGACGAGTATATAAAGATCAAATTAAGTATAATATATATTACAAATTATTTTTATGGTTAATGGTTAATTTGTTTAGTTTTGCGATTGAAACATTAATTTTTTAACTCCTTACTTAACTGAAATTTTATTTATCATATTTGATGTTTAAATAAAAACTGTGTTTCGTTATTTAAATTACATTCTCTACTCTCGATTATTTCATTTTTTTGTTCAGAGTATTTTAAAATTAAATACTGTTTTGTTTGAAACTTGACGTTTTTAGAAAACTTCATATTCGTTTCACATAAAGCTCTATTCTATGACAATACGCTGTCTTGATTTATTTCACTATCAGTTGAGTACATTTGAAGATATCTGAAATTATAATAAAGTTGAAATTCAGTACTTTGACAAAATTAAATAATATATATAAACATATTTTACTATTTTCACAATAAATTGTTAAATTGCGAAATCAATAATTATTCTTTCAGTGACAGTGACTGCGCATGGTGTATATTTAGTTTATTAGAATACATATATGCATGCTATATGTACGCATTGAAGATATTCTAATGTAATGTAATTCTCAAAAATTATCTACTGTTTTTATATATATTTATATAAAAAAAATAAAAACAGATTTACAATTAATTTGAAATAAATAGTAATTTACTATTCTTCAAGACCATTTCTGTTAAGACTATTGTAATTTTTAATACATGAACAGAACTTAACCGCATCGATTATTTTTAAAAACTACATAAACTGCAACTTTGTTCTGTCTATAATAATAAATTGTTTACTGCAATTTAGAACCTTGTCAACAAAAATAGGATGTTCTTTATCCTATGAAGTTATCTTGAGTTTGCTCTGAAATACGAATCTCTCAAAGAAAGTTATACAATAGTACTTAATAATACAACACATTGGCTATCATATTGCATCATATTGTTTATGGATATATAAACACCCGTGATAACCATGCTCTTAATCATTGTTACTGAATGTTCCATGAGAAAATGTGCAAAATTTATTGCACATATTTAAATTTTCGGGCAACATAACAGAAATAAAAACTCGTAGTTTTGTATTGGCACGTACATATATAACACAATTTTCATATACTAAGGTACTGTAATTGAATATAATAAAGTCAACCGAAACACAATGTTAAATCCATTAGTTACTTCGTTTGCAATATGCTGAATTACAAGTACTGTGAACCGCGTTTATGTATCCACTTGTACTTACAGCCTCACTTCTCGATACACGTTAAATAGGACATATAATCCAACCGTTCTGAATTTAACTGTCCTTTAATCACCACATAATCACAATTATCAAGTGACGTCCTTTCCGCACTAATGTGGTTTTCCTTGCAATAAATTCAATATGGTTCCAAGAATTAAAATCGATTTGTTCTGACTGCATAACATGATTGAAAGCGGAACGTGCAGAATAAAAATCGGCAGCGTTTACACTCTCATGCACTCAATAAAACATACGCCGGCTTTTGAAGACCTCTGTTATACTGCGTTTACATGGCAGGGTTGTATAAACTGGATTGTAATAGGCAATTTGAACGATTTTCACAATCCACGTCAAACTCGTTTCCTGATTTGTTATGATGACGTTCACTGTAACTTAAAATTCGCTGTCATCGTTCTTTTCAATATAAAAAGAAGCAATTGTTGAACTGTCAACAACAACGGATATGCATATTCATTTGTAATCAAAATTTCTTATAAAGATGCATAAATATTAATATAAATAGATTTTCCAAAGTTTTATAAAGTTACCTAGTTTTAATTGGGAATTATCAACTCATTTTTATAACTTTAGGTAGATTTTATGCAATATTTTCAGCAGCCATTACAGTATAACATGCAAAATGTAAATATTTGTTAGTATCTGTATCCTTATGCAGTAATAAATAAAATAATTTTCTAAAAAAAACAAAAATTTAAAAATAGGTTTCGCATATATGATTGTAAGCTTCATAATTAAATAACCGTAAATAGGAGTCTTCAATTTATGTTTACAAAATTCTTAACATAATATACATATGTATAATACAACGTTTCCACTACATACTTAGTAAGTTATATAGTAACATTGAGGATTTTGCGTTTACAATATCGTGAGTTACTTACTGAATGGGAAAGAGCTCTTATGTGTCAAAAAGTTATAGTTTTAGAGCTTTTTTGTGTTTACATTTTATTTGTCAACAGATGATATTAAATGCTGTATTGTTAGAAAGAAATAAATCAGCATGGAAGAAAACGCAGAAAATTTAAATAATTTAATATATAATGTTTGTAATGTTGTTCACAATATAAAAGCGGCAGTTGCTGCATATACAAAAGAACATACAATAATTTTAAAGAAATTACAAAAAATTCAAAATCAACATATAATAGTGCTTTCTTCAATGATTACTAGAAAAAAAGGAAGTGCTGGACTTTGGTAAGTACGGGCAGTAAATATTATTGAATAAGGAATAAAATTTTACTGAGTTGCTATTTTAGATAAAATGAAATCCGTATGTCGATTCTGAGAAGACAACAGAGGGCTTCAAAACAATTCTTATCTGTTGTTTGTTTTGAATTTTGATTGTTTGTTTATGTTTACATTTTGATTCATATATTCAATATGTCAAATTTCGATCATTTCCAATGTTGCATTCGTGATATTTGGTATAATTTTGGTCGAATTTTGTTTACTATATTCTATAATAAATGAAAAAGCACGGAAGGTCTCTGTATGGTTAATGCAATTTACTCAGTAAATGAAGCCTACTAAGTACGTAGGGGAAACATAGTATAAGATTAAGTTTAATAATAAATGTTTATTTATATTTCATAACAAATGTCTAATTATAAGTGTTAATGTTTAGTGATGAATGTTAATAAATGTTCACATGCGCAACGAGATATAGCCCGATTTCTGCTTTCAACTGTCACATACGATCGCTTAACTCTAAGGGCCATGTTATGTAGAATGTCTTAAGCACGACAAAATTACTCTATCGGGCTATGCCAAAACATATGCATGTTATGTAGACTGTCACATCATTATTGCCAATTTCGTATTTTTACAATTGTTTGGGACTTTTTGGTTGTGCCTAAATTTAAAAGATAATATATATATGTTCACTTTCAGTTTGCCACCAAAAATAACCAGCAGGAAAAACTTATAGAGGCTATAATAATGTCAATCTGTTATTATATTATCTTATAACAATTGTTAACAGTACTTACGCCTTTCCTTAAAATCGAAAAGTGTAATAATTAGATTATTAACGGTGTATAAACTAAGCTGTGTTGTATACTGCCATTTTTTCTTCAAAACATATTAAAATTCTAGTAATTTGCTCCTAAATGGTGCAAATTCTGAAATTTATTACCAAACAACACTGTTTTGCCACTGTTTTTACATAACATCTGCCATCGCTCGCATTGCCAACCAAACTCCAGCAACAACCAGGGATGCCAGCTCCACTCTTCACAAAAATTAAAATATGTGTATTTAATATGCACGTTGGGCATATTAAATGTTATTTCAGTTAATTGATTTGAATTGAAATTATATTTGAGTGTATAACGACTTTAATCATATTAAAAGCGAAAATATATGACTAAGACTGTTAAAAAACAAAATAGTTGAATTTCTATCAGTCTGCAAGATATATATTCCTTTTACACGTAAACATATGCCAAAAATACACCTTAGTTCACTAAGTCGGCAATTAAGTATGATATACAAAGTAATTCTAGCAAATGTAATTGAAAGACTTTTGAAAGATGTTTAAAAGACAGAACGAAAGACAGTTTGAACAGTTTTCGCTATTCTTGCACAAAAAACTTTCAAAAAAATTATTATCATTTGTAATTCGAGGTAAAAAGTTGTATTATGCTATTGCTTTATCATTAGCCTTAATTTTAATTTTAATCTGATTAAAACAAATTGGCATCAGTTTTAAAATATGTTAAATACTTTTTTGACATATGTCTTTTGTTGTGTTGTGTACATTAGGAAATATAAAAATTGTAAACACCAAAAATTGATTTTATTAATTTTAAATTTAAAAAGAAGAAAACAAAGTGAATATTAGAAGGACAATGGTAATATATTTTAATTAATTAATTTATATAAGTATTTGTATTTATTAGTAATGGTATACTCATATAAGTTTAACAGATGACTGGAACTCAGTTTAGTGTCGAGTCATCTTTACATTTTAGTAGCTTTACTTCGTTGAACCAGCCGGCGCCGTCAAATGATGGCATTGGAGCATCTTGTTCTGAGCTCATTTTGGCGAACATAGCATCTAATAGCTTCATTTCTACTATTTTTCATCTAGTTTCTGCCACTTGTCCCTGTGGATCACTGCGGTCGATAAGTGCTACAATCAAGCGTCGCTTGACCACTATCTCCGCCATTGTTAATTTAGATGTGGATGCTTCCTGTTCCTTGGGTTCATCGGCTTTCGTCCTTTTTATTGCCGTTACTATCTTAGATGTGGACGCTTCCGGCTTTTTAATAATGTCGGCTTTCGTTCTCTTCGTAGCAGTTTTCTGTTGAAGGGCAGCCTAATCTTTACGATTTTATCTCTTTCCAGAAGTACCTTCGCTTTTCGTTGAGCGCTGCCTTTTGCATGCCATATCCTCCTCGATTCTATTAGCAAACTTCGAATCAGAGGGTTCGCATCACCTTTTACCCGCGTAAAAGGCTTGACCTTTCTCTACATCCTCTTTTAGCCTGTCCTTCTCCTAATTCGACAGATCATTCTGGTCTCAGAGGCGAGCGCAGAGTTTTATCGCTGCCTTGTATCTGGATTTGGCTCTTAACCCCTCCTTATTTGGTTCAGCCCTTGGCCTACGAACGGCCTTAGCAGCTTCCCCCGGAGAACGAAGAAGAGCTTCCTCCTCAATTGTGCTTATACTAGCAACGCTCTCATGATCCGGGTCTACGGGGACTATGGCATCACTGAGTTGCATTGTATTCCTATTTTTTGAAATCGCGCCTTTGTGACCCAAGTCTACAGGGACTTTGGCATCACTACACTGTTGT